TTTTAGCAAGTACCTAGGTTGTTAGTATGGTAAGTTACAACGTCAATTTATAGTACTGAAACTATGAAGTTGCATAAAGAGGTCTGGCAAAGAGGACTACCATCGGCAAGTCGGTAGCGAACCGACAAAATCAGGAAATTTGCAGCGACAATAAAAGAGTCAGAAGTCGAGCGGTCTTTTGCAGTTCCATAATGTAAGTGGAAGCACGGAGTTATTCAAAGCAAGGCCTGATCCATAATGTTTTCCGGGATTGCCGATGTAATTGGTAGCTTAGAAACAAGTCCCCAAAGGAGAGGATTATTACCGGACCGTTAATTCTGTCCAGAATACTAACTTTATACACCAGAAAAAAACAAAAGTCACCTAACCGTAGAGAGAAGTACCCACACAGGAGAAAAAGCAGCTACAGCACAAGAATAATAGCGAGTTATCATTGGCAGGGGAAAATGTTTGAACAGCGTGGGCTAGCACAAATGGAAAGTACAGTTTTCAGTATTGTAGAAGTGCACATTTAACACCAAAAGTGAATTAATTTCCAGGATGTGCAAGTTTATTGAGCAGCCATTTTCATTAATATAAAGAACACCATATCGAAACGCCCCATAAAAATAACGAGTCACAGTTTGTGGAGCGTTTTCAAGAGCAGGCCTGATAAATACAATTCACAGAATTCCACAAGTCAATTGACAGTTTCGACTGTGAATAGTAGGTCTATGAAGTTGCATCGTCAGGTGAGCGACTCAAGTCGGTTGAAAGGAACCACCAAGAGCGCAACTGATAGAATCAGACCAATAGGGAGCCTCCAATCATTGCAAAGAGCGTTATAGCTAATAGGGCAAACTATCTGGTGAGCATTGTCACGACACGCGTCTGCACTGGCATAAATTCATATGATTGGAGGAGGACAGATGCCTGCCTTTCCTGATTGATGCTCGCCGAAAGCTACTGCTGTTAGGTGGGAAAGCGTTATTGGCCCACGTGAAGACCGAAAGGTCGGTTCAACTGTGACTCATCAAACAGCACCTGGGTGGGTAGCATGACGCAGGATTGCTTCGCGTGATTCATGAATTCCGAGGTGGGCACCTTTATCTATTCATCTGGCACATCAATTGAAAATCCCGAGACAGTGTCTGACGGCGGAAGAAACCTCAGAAGGTGGCGAACGGGATACACAGTACTGCTGCGGCTTACGCCTGTCTTTTATAGGAAACTGGAAAGGTCATCG